AAGAAAAGAAAAGAAAAGAAAAGAAAAGAAAAGAAAGAAAAGGGGGCTACATTTACATGGTGGTGAATGATGTGAATGCAATAGCCTCTAGTTCTTAGAGTTTGGAAAGTATGACCTTGAACTTCAGGTTTCTTGATGACCCCAGCCATTGCCTCACTCCTGACTAGCTGGTGACTGGGTGCAAGTACTTCATCAAGGACTACCCAGTGGTGTCTGCTGAAGATGCCTTAGACCAAGATGACCAGAAAGCTTGCAGGTAGTATACAGGTTGTAGGGGATGGTCTCACAGCAACCAACCCAAAGCGGATTACTAAGCCTATGGACAAGAAGGCCTGCAACTACCTTCTGCTTAGAGTGAATCAGAGACCAGTGACAGAGAATCTTCAGGAATGCAAATTGGCTTAGTCCAAAGGATGGGGTGCCATGTTTCCCACTGTGCTAGGGCAACTGAAGATACTTTCATTGCCAGACTCATAGTGATGATCTGCACTGGATCAACAAGGCCGGGCCCCTTGCCCATCTGAGCACTTGGCCAAGTACAACGAGCTCCATGGAGGAGGAGATGGACAGCAAAGCTTAATTTTCTGGCAACAAACTCAGGAAGCTCCTGGGCAACAGAGCCCCCGAGCCATTCAAACACTGGTCAACCGGTAGAACCTCTGCTCCTATTCTAATCACAGGTGCTCAAGGATCAAGACATGAACGCTTTGGAGGGGTCTTTTCTTCTCTGGTCTCGATAACGTTCTGCCTCCTTACAACTGCCACATCAAAAGCCAGGCTTCTGATACATGCAACTACATGGAGGAATCTTGAAAACATTATACTAATTGAAAGAAGCCAGATACAAAGGACAAATATTATATGATTCCATGCATATAAAATATCTAGAATGGACAAATTCACAAAGATAGGAAGTAGAGGGGCGCCTGGGTGGCTCAGTCGGTTAAGCGACTAACTTCAGCTCAGGTCATGATCTCACAGTTTGTGAGTTCGAGCCCCATGTCGGGCTCTGTGCTGACAGTTGAGAGCCTGAAGCCTGCTTCGGGTTCTGTGTCCACCTCTGTCTCTGCTCCTCCCCTGCTTGCGCTCTGTTTCTCTCTCTCTCTCTCAAAAATAAATAAACATTAAAAGAATGTTTGGGGGAAAAAAAGGAAGTAGAATAGAGGTTGCCAAGGGCTGGGAGGAGGAGGGATTGGGGAGATATTGTTTAATGGGTACAGAGTTTCTGTTTGAGGTGATAAAAAAACAAACAAAAACCTGTTTCTGTGTGAGGAGAAAAATAGTGCTGATGGCTACAGGATTTTGTGAATATACTAAGGCCACTGAATTGTACGCTTTAAAAGGGTTAAAATGGGAGTTTTATGGGAGCACATTTTAGCACAATAAAAATATTTTTTTTAAGAAACCTGCTCTTGAACTCTGTAGGGAAGCCCTAGCTCGGTCCATGTGATTGATCCCAAATGATTCATCCCTTTCGTGACTGTCCTCCCAACCACGCGTCTGTGGAGCCATATACTTATAGTGTGTCCCTTGGATGTCAACAAGTAGGAACCCCAAGTGGTTTTAAGGAAAAATTAAAAAACAACAACAACAACACATTTAATATCCTCCCAAAACTCTGAAGGAAGAACCATCTGCAAATTCATGAATTATGCTTTAGTTTAATCTTTTATTCTCAAGACTAGTCAATTGCTTAAGTTGGGTCTAGACTCTTAATTAAAGCCGACAGTTTGTTTACTGAGCCTGACTCTGCAGTGAAAAACAGAGAACACAGGAGATTCTCACACAGCTACAAGACTCCAACATGCCGGGTGTTACCTTACCCAGAAACAACTGGGCTTGGGTGAAGAGGCAACACAGAAATGCAGTTTTCAGGTTTGCTAATTGCTTTTCACTAAAAACAGAGCTAACTGTGCATGATGTATTTTTTTAATATGCCATTTTGATGTATTGTCTTAGTTGACCACATACACTATACTCAGAGGAAGTATTAGGTCAGTGGTGGAAGGGAGATCACTGTGCTAAAATGTAGAGCTTTAAAGCAGTCAATCTCTATTGTCGCTGTGGCTGAGAATATTTAGCAGGGTCAAATGAACAGTGGTTATTACTAGTATTATACCTTGTTTTATAGGGTTCTTTATGTGTGCGGAGTGCTTTCCCATATATTTTCTCCTTTGCATGATCTAAGCGCCTTTGTTTCTATGACTTAAGCACACTGTGAATTATCTTTAGCAAACCTTTCCCACTTGATCACCTTCTTATGTCACTCACCCAAGCAGATATCAGCATTCCCCTAGCATAAGGAATGTAAGCTTATTTTAATAACATTGAAGGCAAAACCTAATGAGGAAAAAAAAAATCCCTTCTTAATTCATGTGATTCTTGTTGAGCCAAAAATCTGCAGTCTGTTTCTTTGAATGTCTGTCTGCCCCATTCTATGGACATGTGAGAGGCAAAACTATGTCTGGTACAGGTGGAAATAATATGCAGGAACACAGTGTGCACACTGAAGAGAAGACTTTGGAAGAAAAGTCCCACTAAATCTTGAAGTCAGATTTGATTCACTGAGCCCCAGTTGGGTAAAGCTGTGAAGGTGAACAAGGCAGGATCCCCCCATTTTAATATAGGTTTTATTATTATTTAGATATGGTCAGGCCAACAGATCAGGGGACAACTGCCATTAAAAAGATATTGGTTATACTCCTAGACCCTAAGAGGAGAGGACATGGTGCACCATGCAGGGCCACATGGACGAGCACCAGGTCACTCAGGAGGCAGGAAGATGGGGAAAACTGTGGACAAGAGCCTTTACTGTCATTCTCACCAGAAGGAAGAGTGAGGCAGGGCAAGCAGGCTGAGGGTTGGCTAATTTGAATAATGTCAGCAAGCTCTGGGACATAAGGGCTGTCCTTAGAATCTGACACCTAGCTCTGGGGTAATTAGGGCAGGGGAATAGTAGCCCAGAGTATGAGACTCCAGTAAGGGAGGTGGCAGGGGTGTGGGCTCCAGATTGGTTGGTTTGCACTCCCAGGTGAGTTGTTTACTGTCCCTAGGAATTGGCTAACCCTGGGAGGGGCAGTCCCTCCAGAGTCCACAAGATCTCAGACATCAAAGCGTCAGAATACAGAAAATAAAAGATGTGGTTAATGCATGCCCTCCAGGGGCTTACATTCTAGTGTGGTGAGCCGCCAAGAAAGCTGCAACCAGGACCAAATCTCTAGTCCCTGATTTCAACTCTAAGAAGAGGAGTTTAGATGATACAAATGAGATTTTTTTTTAAAGCCTCCCATCTGTGAGTCCATGATATAATTAAATACGGAACTAAGGTGACAAATGCTATAAGAGAATTGAATGCTCTGGGAGAAGGAAAAGATGGTGGAGAAATGAAAATGGAGATGGTTCAGAAGGAAGGCGCAGGCATTGGCTTGGGGTTTAGCATGGGAAGGTGATGTGGATGGGCTGGCTGGTGGGGGATTCATCTTCCCAGGGGCACCAGGCAGAAAACAGGAGTTAGAGCAGAGATCCTGAAATGGAGACAATTTGGCCCCACGGCCCCAGGGGACATTTGGTGATGTCCAGAGACAATTTGGGGTTGTCACAGCTTAAGGGGTAGGGCGGGAGGCCTGCTACTTGCCGAAAGTGATGGAGGCCAGGATGCTGCTAAACACCCTACACCAGAACCCGCCAACAAAGAAATATCCCAACCAAATGTCAACGGTGCTAAAGCTAGGAAGACCTGAGGTAGAGGAAGGCTTGGTAGAAAGAGTGCATGGAGGTGTGGTGCCACGTTGGCAAATCTGGGTGCCACTCAGCACCTGGCCTGGAGGCAGGTGAAGAGAAAGACCAGGGGCAGCTGTTGTCTGGCATATGGTCCTCTCTAAACTCGGGTCACATTAAGCCAGAGGGTTCATACAGACAGTGCTCTCTCACCTGGTGCCTGCTTCCATCTCATGAAAGACACTGTGCATGGAGTTTGTTGAGGACTGTTTTTTGTACAAGCAGAGTTTTACATTTTTATGAAGTCAAATCTGTCTTGTATTTCCTCTCATGATTTCTTCTTACCCTTCTGAATGTAAAAAGTCCTTCATATACACTCTTCATACCTCAACAAGTATATGATAAATATTCTCATCCATTTTCTTACCAATTTCTTATGGGATACCCTCCTTAAATATGTAACTATTCAATTCAGTCTTTCCCAGAGGGTGCTATAAGTATTCTTGGGGATAATGTAAGATGCTTCTAGGAATTCCGTTGATAAATACTTTTGTGTTAATGATTTTGTGTTGTCAAATAGATATATAACCATCATATCAAACCTGTATTTTCACAGATGGCATTGCTTAGGATAAGGAGTTTTTAAAGATGAGTCCATTTTAAAACTTAAGTAGATAATGGTGTGAGTGATAAACAAAATCCAGCAAACTGGTGATAGGGGTATGAGAATGGCTGAAGTTTAGGAAACACTAGTTAAATCACTTGAAATTTATTTCACGGTGTAGAATAGAGCAACACTCAACTGACTTCCCTCCACCTCACCTCCTGGTTGTTAACCAACTACTCTGAACCATTTGTTGAATTTCTCATTGATCATGATTTTTTAAAGTCGTAAATCAATTCTTATATGTAGCCTTTTTGGATGATCTTTTTTGTTCCATTAACATTTCACTAGTCTTGAGCTATTACCACAGTTTGAATTACTGCATTTGACTTAATATCTGGCCATGCAGGTCTCTTCTCCCCACAAGGAGTACTGATTTTGAGGACGGGGGTCAGGGTGGGGGTGTGAAAGGTCAGTGACATGTGGACAGCAGTACACCCAGGAAAGCCCTTGGGGTTTGACCTGAGTAGCTATAGTTACAGGGCCAGAGCCCTGAGTTACAAGGACCAAAGATCTGTCATCCCAGGGAGAAACCAGAAGGAATAAAAAGGAAATATGAGACATTGATTTAAAATGTGAAGAACAAATGATATTCCATGTAATCAAGAACCAGACAGGAAGTGATGAAATCTGAGACCCGAGGGAAGAGCTGGGAGGAGGCTCTGGGTAGGACATAGCACGCTTCCCCTTGTCTGGCTGGCTGTTAAGTAGGAGGACACTGCCATTGCCAAGTAATGCTAAAAAGACATTTCAGTCCATCAGGAAAAGCCATGTATGTTTTCACAGACACACACACACACACACACACACACACACACACACACACACACAGACTTATACTTACAGATATGCTAACCCTAAAGAAAGCAGACAGAAAAATTCAGATGTAAAGCCAGCATAGAGATAGGCATTAACATCCCCTGAAGAGTTCTCATTAAATCATAGGATCCCTCGAAACACAGAGCTTTGCTAGTAATTTAATCATTTCTTTGGATTGTACCAACACCCTGACCAAAAAGCTAGATGGAATTTTTAAAAAATGAGAAAAGTATGAAGAAATAGCTCTTCAAACCACATGGCCTATATAGATCAGTGGGGAAAAATTGTTTAATTTAATAAAAATAACTCATCTCACAACTTTTTAAAAACACACACAGAGCGCAAAGTGGACTAGGTACTGGGGATGGATGGATTCATCTGTTCCCTGGCCCATTATGATCGCAAAGCGGGGTGAAACTTCATGGCCTGAGAGTCCCCTGAGAATGGAATTTTCCAGAACTGAAGGGATCAGGGGGCTAGAAAGGGCCTTAGAAAGCTTTTATTCCAAAACTTGATATGCCAGAAGAAGCAAAGGACTCCATTATTCCCCCAGCTCCTGCTCCCCCCACAAAGTGACACCGCTTAGTATTTTTTCTGCCACCAAAAAGCAAATCATTATTACATTCGGTTGGAGGCAATGACTGACTCGATCACTGCTGCCTCTGTTGAACTTCTGGTGTCTCAGTTTTGGAAAGAATGTGATGGACACCATCCTAACACACGTGAGTGAGAGCAAGAGAAGACTAGGGGCAGAGGCTGAATCATGCTAGCGTGAATGCCAAGCCATGCTGAGTCATACTAGAGCACATGCTGAGTCATGACGAGTCATGTTAGAGCACATGCTGAGGTGTACCTGTCCTGTGGGATTAACTACTGGAGATCAATCTCAGAGGAGTTTGTCTCAAGAGTCAAATGAGAGTCTCAAGTGGAAATCTTTGTGCGGATTCAAACAGTGTTCAAGTGGGAGGCAGGGAGGATCTGGGAGGCCTCATTCCCTGAAAATTGCTTGGGTTTGTAGCTGGGCCAGGACGTTACCCATCCTGGAGAAGCCAAAGTAAGATCTCCTTCTCCCTCTGTAGTTCTCCAGGCGGGCTGCAGGATCTCCTGGTGATTGAAGAGGGCTTTACAAAGAAGAGCTGGGTTTATAAATAATGCATTTCCTTTGTCTTGCAGGGATTCTGGAGGCAGAGGTACAATCAGATCAGCTGTGAACAGCTTACATAGCAAATCTAATAGGTTTGTAAATTAGATTTTGTGTTCATTTGTTTTTGCTGTAAGGCAGCTATTAATCTGCTTCTCCTCTTTGCTGGATGGTGCCCTTCTTCCTTAGCAAATAGATCTGTTTTGTTTCACTTTGGCTTTGCATTTCCCTAATCACTTTTGGGGAGGAGCTGTCGATAGAAGAGCCCATGAGATGGCCCAAGGTCTAGAGGCTTCAGAGGTGGAAAACTGAGATGGGTAAGCGCTGCTTTCTGGAAAAGAGCCCACACTCTTTGGAGCACTTGAGCCGTCAATGTGCTTATTCAGAAACTTGGCATTTTTGCTGAACGGTGGAGGCTCTGAAGAGAATCCGGACTTTCACTCCATTTCATTGTGGTAGGTGGCTTGTCCAAGAGATTAAGACAGAAAATAAAACATTCGGGAACTTCACAAAGATCTCTTAAAATTTTTAGGGAGCCCACTCAGTAATGTTAACCTTGATTATTGAATGCACAATCTAAACTCTCAAAAAAGCATTTTCTCCTGTGATGATCCCTGGCCAGGGGCAGCTGGGTATGGAGGCGTGAGCACATGTTTTGTAAGCCAACAGACTCACACTTGCCACTGGCTATGGTTGGACCATGCCTCTGAGTCCTCATTCTCCATTAATGACAACTGCTCCATAGCTCTGACTTACAGTCTTAGGAGCTCCAGCTAAAGGAATGGTAGAAGGGAGAAAAGAATGCCAAGTTACTTAATATAGACAACCACTACTGAAAATGAAGGTCTTGCTTTACTTCCTGGTGGTCAGTCTTGGAATGAAAGACCTAAATTATTTAGAGCAGGGTCTGTTATTTGCTCTTCCATAAATTTTTTTAGGTCTCTTGACCCTATTAGACCTATCAGTTGTGTCCCTCCCTGACCCCACATGATTCAGGAAACTGACCCTCTCTCCCTGATGTCATTGCTTCTGGATATCTAATGACCCCTTAACCACCTGGGAGCTACAGATGAAGCTTATACTGTGCCTGGTAAAACGCAGAAATAAAAAAGGAGGCCATGCGACTCTAAGTTCCTCTCTCTTCTACTGTGGAAAGATGTCCCCTATTGGAGAAAAAAGATCTTGCCCCCCGAGGGAGAACCCTGTGTCCCATGGTAACTTCAGGGTGGAAGAACCTTTCTTGAAATAGCGTGAGAAGAGGGAAGAAAAGTCTTGGGAGCCAAGCAGACCTGGATTCAGTCCCCATGCTTGTTAGCTGGGGCTGTGGGCAAATGATCTCTCCCCTCTGAGCCTCAGTTTCCTCACTCAATTAGAACAACCCACCAATCCAGGTGTGTTGGTGCAACATACAGCACGTAAACCAGTGAGCTGAAGTGGCTCCTGGGGTCACCTAATCCATCCCCTCGATGTTATAGAGAAGAAGGCAGAGGCGAGAGACCCGAGGTGACTTGACCAAGTTCCCCAGCTCAATAGCCACAGAGCCAGGTTTAGTCCAGGAAGACCATGGCCGGTGGTGGTAGATGATGTCCCCTCTGAAGTTTCACTTGGAAGTGGAGACAGAAACAGAACATTACCCCCAGCCACGCCAGTGTTTATCTCCTTCCCTTTATTGCCTCCACCACACTGTGTCCCAGAGAAGCCTGGAAACTCCTTCTGGGCAAGCAGCCATGACAGATCCCTCTGCAGATCCCTCTTGCCTGAGATAGCCTGGGGTCACCCAATGTGCCCCAGTTTCTGAGGAGCTTCACCTTAGACTGAGTCCACTTTAGGCCACAGATGCCAGGTTCTAGTCACCTGTTACTGACGAGAACATCAGCTAGCCTCTTAAGAAGACAACTCCCCATCACAAGTAGTCAAGTGTTTCTATCATAGATACCATCTGATGTAAGCTGCAGTAAAGCTTGGGCTCTTTGGGTGTGACAGCTGAAGCTGTGGTCCCAAGTGTCACTGCTCCTGCCTGTGCCCTGTGCAGAAGTAGGCTGTACCAAAGGTTGACAGCCACAAGCAGCTCCTGCTGGAACCTCATGAGAGTGCAGTCAGTGACAGGTGCAGGTGACACCATGGTCCTCACTGAATTCCAGAACCTTAGAGGTGGATATCTTCCTCTTCCACACCTTCTTTCTATAAGTGGGCAAACTGAAGCTCAGAGAGGTAAAGTGGTTTACCCACAGTCACAAAGCCTGTGAAATCTTTTCACTACGCCTTCTGCTCCCTTTCATGAAAACAGCAAAATTTCCAAGGGTAGGGTCTTTGGTTTCCTTTTCTAGTCCTCTGCAAAAGTTACATATGTTTGAATCCAGGGCCAGCTGTATCATCCAGAGGAGTCAGGAATATAGAGAAATGGAGGTGTGTGGGGAGAACGTGCAGAGAAAATTTGCACCCCCAACTTCTCTACCTACAAAAAGAAAAATAGAGCATTGACTGTATACCTCCTTAAAAGGCCTGCAGCTTTTTTTAACTTAGGTGCTCTGAGATAAACGCCGAGGACATAGATGTTTGGTTTGAATTCTTTTTTTTTTTAATTTATTTATTTTGAGAGACAACGTGCACGAGCACAAGTGCAAGTGAGGCAGGGCAGAAAGAGAGGGAGGGAAGGAGAGAGAGACAGAGAGAGAGAGAGAGAGAGAGAGAGCGCAGGTGAGGGGCAGATAGAGAGGAAGAGAGAGAATCCCAGGCAGAGTCTGAGCTGTCAGCATGGAGCCCAACATGAGGCTCAATCCCACAACCGTGAGATCACGACGTGAACTAAAATCAAGAGTCGGACGCCTAACCGACTGAGCCACCCAAGCACCCCTGGTTTGAATTTTTTAGAGCTCCAAAATTTGGCATCACAAACCCACTTATTCTAAGTGGGAGAATCCACTTAAGTGGGAGAATCCACAGCAAAGGAAATTCTGCATTTGTACATATCCGACAGAGGCAGGCTGGCTACCACACTGCCTTTAGAGATGTAATTGTAACCTAGTTTCTTAGAAACCTACTAGCATAGATTGCAACCCTCAGAATTCAAGTGGGTCCGAAATGCCTGGCGTTCCAGCGTCAGGCGGAAAGACCGTGCGCAGCCAGAATTGTGATTTGCCCCAAGGCAGGCAGGGCCAACCAGCTCCTTCACACATCCAGGCTCCCCCCAGAGTGAAATTCAAACTCAAATTCAACAAATGGTTATTTATTGAGCACCTGCTACGTTATACCATCGGGGAATAAAGAAATGAATGAGGGAGCTCCCCTGCTCACAGCCTAGTGGGAGAGACAGACCCAACACCGATAACTCTGGAACAAGGCGGATGTGTGAGGTGGCATCGGAGAGTACAAACGAGGCAGTGATAAGATAAGGGGGAGGTGGGGGAAGCCACAGGCTGCATCTCATTCCCCTGGCATGAGCTTTTGTTTTCTCTTTATTAAGTTTGCAGACCATCGTATAACACCCAGCTGCTAATGCAACTGCGGAGTTTCACAAAAGTAACTCGAGAGAAGACGTATTACCGTTCTGACAGTGACAGCTAGATCTCCCTGGGAGGAGATGGTGGGGCGGAGGGTGGGGAGAAAGATAGTTTTAATACCCCCTCCCTGTCTCCAAAGCGTAAGGAGCTTATACCTAAGGGAGAGAGCTCGGGCATTCCAGAGGATAAACAGACTTCCTTCTCTTCTCAGGTAATAACCTCAATTTTGCTCTCCCGAAGTTTACATCCAAGCCCGTGCAAAAACAAAACTATTAGACTTGTCATCGGCATGCTAACACATCATGTCTACCCTCTTCCTTTTTCTCCCCCCCATCCAGAGCTGAAGTTGTAATAAATGGTTCCTCATCGCCAGCTGTTGTTGACAGAAGTAATGAAAGCATTAAGCACAACATCCAGCCCGCCTCGGCCAAGTGGAGGCACAACCAGACGCTGTCTCTAAGGATCAGGTAGTGGTAATTACCAATAGGACAAGAGACAGACCTGGCCTTCTTCAGCACAAGCCAGCAAATTGCCACTCTCCATCATCTAAAGAAGTCAGGATAGAAATAAAATGTTTACCGCCCGCCGAGGCAGGTGTCATCTGTAAGCGATCAATTGGAAATAAAAACCCGAGACAAGCCGAGCCGGCCAGCACGTGCATGCAGCGACCGGGGCCTGAGAGGGGGCAGGAGCACCCAGCTAGGGTCCTGGGTCTGGAAGGAGTGAGGCTCTTGGGCCAGCAGCAGCAGGAGCCTGGGGGCTAGAGACCACAGGCAGGAGTCCTTCTCTGGCAGGATATGTCTCCTGCTTGGGCCAGTCTGGCACCTGTGGCCCCCTTTCTGTGCATGACCCAGAGTGACACGACACCTGTTTGCCAAGGGAGAAGGCTGCTTAGCCAGAGAGCAGCTCTTGTCCAGCACTTGGACCGCGTGACTTTGACGTAGCCATGACTGACCCAGCAGAGGGTGGTCAGTATAACCCCAGCATCGTGCTGGGGGCCCAGGGTGCTAACGTGAATCAGACATGCTAGCAGGGAGACACAAATGTCAGACAGGACGGGGCCACGTGACGTACACAGATGGTGTTGCTTCTCATCAATAGGTGGAAATACAGAGATCGTGCTGAGAAGAGAGCACACTTCATTTTGTAAGGGAGCTGAGAGGGATAGCAGAGAAAGGAGCAATGTGTTTTGAGCGGTAATTAGGGGTTTGCCAGGCCTGCCAAGCTGCGTCCCGCTTGCACACAGGCTGACTTCCGCTATTCGCGCTCAGTGCCTCTGGAGCTCTAAGTAGGAGGTAGGGGATACGGGTGGTGAGGTGGGCACAGTCGCCTGGACCAGATGGGGAAAGCCTCAACTATGGTGGCCAACCTTCCCAGGCCTTCCACCATGGGGAGGGAGAACAGGGGGCCCAGCTACCCAAAGTGTCACCACACAGAGAGGGGGGCCCCTTCCAGGTAGGCTCATTGTCA